AAGCAAAAATGTCCTCATTTTCCTGATATTGTCGGTCTGTTTGCCTCTTCCCGTTTGCCTCTTCCTGTTTGTCTCTTCCTCTCAGAAAAGGTCAAAGGTGAGTGACCTCCTCTGCCTCCATAGCCGCTTTGCGGACCGAGCTGAAGCCAGAACCACCGGACCTCGCTGGACCGGCAGCAGACCAGCTGAGGAACAGAACCTGTAATCATCAGTGAACCTTCGAGTCGGATGACGATGAATCCTCTGTTGTTTTCGTTTGTGTCTTCGTGTCGTTTTGCTCCAAATGTTCGGCTGCAGAAAGTCGAGCTGCATGAGTTCTGGGAGGAAACCCAAACAGCTTCTCACCAGGCGGAACCGACGGTTCTTGCAGAACAAATCAACTTCCATCTCATCGTCACACTACTTTTCTGGAGGAAACTTGTGGTTGTTTTAAGGTGCAAATAAAGCTTGAACAAATCTGCAGAGTGGGTCTTTACTGGTTCCAGCGGTTCTGCTCAAACTGGGTCAGATTTCCCTCTGCTGGAGCTCGGTAGCATCAGAACAAGATAAATATAAATACAACATATAAGGCCGTTACAGAACATGTGAATTATGTCAAAATTAAATCGGAGCTGGACTGTCGATATGATTGAAACTGAAGTTAGCGTGTTAGCATTAGCTTCCTCTAAATATGATGTTGGTTTAGCATTGGTGTCTTTAAATACAATATTGGTGCAGCACTGTAGCAGAACTAATGTCTAAAATTAGCGCAGCTAGCTGTTTAGTTAGCGCTGATCACTGAACCAGGTTTCAGTATCGATGAGTTCCAACAGCTTTTCAGCAGAAAGTTAGTTTAATGAGTCAGAGAAGCTTCCTCCTCTTCCTCACTGCTTCCTGTCTGCTGCTCGACTGGGAGGCTTAAGCTCGACACACACACCGCGGTGTGTGTGTGTGTGTGTCTCCTCATTAACACATCAGCTCCGACACTCTGAGGTGACACATTCAAACATTTTATTTTTGGATTCTGTTCTGCTTTCATTATCAATTTCCATGTTTTAGATGCTTTGAATAATAAAACACTTAAATAAAAAATGTAAAACAATAAAATAAAAAATCTGTAAAACCCGATCAGAATCATCCAAAGCGACTTCAGGCTTTATTTCCCCTCAGTTTAACTGCTCCCCCTGCTGGCCGACTCATAGAACAACAACTGGAAACAACAAGAAGAAACGACATGAAACGTTGCTCCAAAATATAAACAGGTTTTATTATTAACAAAAATAATAACACAACATGTAAATAACATAAATATTAAACCAGGTCAGTCCTTCCTGGCTTTGGGTTTCGGGGCTGAAAACAAAAACAGATTTAAGCTTAAAAAGAATCAAATGTTTTTCACAGCAAAGGTGAAACCAGGGTTAGCAAAAATAAAACCATGAGGTCAGAACCTTCTCAGTGTGTATCTACAGAATAAATAACGATTTAATAGCATTAACTGATTTACAGATAATAAATAAAATGAAACATAAAAGTGAATTAAAAGCAAATTAAAAAATCTAGAAAAACAGAAAGTTTGTTTTATTCACCGTTTGGATTCTCCTGTTTGTAGAAAGTTTTCAGCATCTCAACAGCTTCATCTGCTCTGTGACCTGGAACACACTGAACACACACACACACACACACACACACACACACACAGACAAAGAACACAACACTCACATCCTGAGCGTTTCCAGACTTTTTCTATCCTTCATGTTAAATTAGAAAGGAATGAAGAGAGGAAGGAAAGGAACAAAGGAAACCAGGAAAGGAAGGACAGAAGAAAATGATGAAACATGGACAGAAAGAAAAACACACGAAAGGAAACAACGAAGGAAAGAATGACATGAGGAAGGAAAGACGGAAAGGAAAGAAGGAGATGAGTGAGGAAGGAGGAACATGAAGAGCAAGGAAAGAAAGGGAAGGAGATAAAGGAAGGGCAAACCGAAGGAAAGACTGAAAGGAGGATTCAAGATGGTGGCATAGTCAAAGTCTGGAAACACAAACAAAGTCCAAGAAGTGACCCTGCAGGTCAACCTGGGGTCAGAGGTGAAGTGTGACACTGACCCTGAAGGTCGTCCCGGTGTCAGGAAGCTCAGCAGAAGAGAGGTCCAGAACCGAGCCGCAGCCTCCAAACCGCTCGTTGCTGCAGCCGAAGACGACCAGCGGGACGTCTGGAGAGTCAAGGACCAGCACACACTGACACACACTGACACACACAGTCACACACACTGACACACACACTGACACACACACTGACACACACTGACACACACACTGACACACACTGACACACACACTGACACACACT